AAGGGAAGAGAAGGGCACTCAGAGCTTAGTAACTCGGACCCTGCCGCCCAGGTCTGAGGACCCCAGGGGCGAGCCCCGCACCTGCTCCTCCGGTGGAACCAGGCGCCAGAGCCTCTGAGATCCCCAAGTCCCCAGGCCGCTGCTGAAGGGAAGAGAAAAGGAGGAAACAGCTTCTCCCCACCTCCGACCTCCCGGTCTTCTGCCAGCACCTCCCATCGTCCGGAGCTAGCTGGAACCTGCAGTTGGGGGAGGCCCGGAAAGGCGGCTGGCGGGCCCAGCATCACACAGACGGTCACCAAGCGGATGGCAGAGACGACTGGACAAAGGACCAGCACCGTGGGCCTTGACTTTTGTACCAGACAAACCCGTTCAAAACCAGCTCCATTGCTTCCTAGCCATGGGATACTGAGAGAGGGGCACTCTGAGACTCAGTTTCCCCGTGAATAAAGTGGGAAGCATCGCAGACTGAAGACTGAATTAAGTGAAGTGTGAGGAAGTGCCATCAGGTCTGGCCCAGAACACGCCCTTCCCTGGTGCTTCTGGCTTCACCCCAGCTCACTCTCCGACCCTCTCGGGGCTCCAGTCTTGCCCGAGCACCGGGCCTCTCGGGGCTCTGCTTCCTCACCTGTAGAACCGGAATGGGGTTTGGACTGGGGTTCGACTGTGCTGTGTGGTGCAAGATCCCTTGACTGAAACGGGCAGGTTGGAACCGGAAGGGGTGGTCAGGGAGGCTCTGGAAAGTTCTGAGCTGTGCACTTCACTGGAGAACGTGCTCAAACATTCGACAGCTCACACTTCGACCACCTTCTCCCCTGCTAATGTCGCTCTGTTTGCTGTGCTCATTCTCAGCCCTGCTCAGTGGACAAGAAATTGCCACGGGCAGCGTGCTCTGTGCGCTGTGGTGGTGGGTCGGGGGGCGGTGGCAGGTACTTCAAATTGGATCTGTCCTGAAGATTAGATCTGTAAGCTCCAGGGCCTTCCAGGAGCTTGAGTGTCTGAGCTTTGGGAATTGTCTTGTTTGGGCTGGAATTATGAGTTTAAACCTTTTGAAGCTCAGCTTTGGGGGGTGCTGGAGATGCGGCCAAAGCCGGGGGTCCCTGGGGAGCCCTGTAGTGTAGCAATTAGCAGTGAAGGGCTTTTGGATTTCCTGTCCTGCCACCCACTAACCTAGTGGAGTCATTTAGACTCTTTAAGACTCAGTTTCCTCCTTTGTAAAGCAGGATTGATACTATCCACTGTATTCCTTGTCCCCTTGTCACCCCTCCCCTCTCTGGGTATAGCACCCTCTCCCCTTCCTTTAGGGAATGAAGCCTCCCGGA